TAGCCTGGGGAAAGGAAGGAAAGGCTTTAACACAGGCCCATAGTCCCAGCTATTCAGGAACTGAGGCAGGAGTATCACAAGTTAAAGACCTGCCTGGGCTATGGAGTACAGTCAAGGGCAAGCTGGGTAGTGGTGAGACCCTATCCACCCTCCCCAAAAGAAGACAGCTGAGGCCATAGGTCAGCGGCACAGCACTTGCTTGGCATGTGTGCATCACACATGCACAGAATTAATTCCAACCAATTAAGTAGGGGGCTAAGTACAGGTTGCCCCTAGGAAGCTGCAAGAGAAGCAGTGTCCTCAGGAGAAAGCCAGGTCTCCAGGGGAGAGGGACAAACAGATAAAGGAACCTCACTGCAGACTTCGTAGGTGAGAATACAAATTCCTGGTGGCAGAGGGAAGACCTAAGAGAGTGGCCGGGTAGGACAGCATGACATGATGTCATTACAGGGGACAAAGGACACGAAAAGAGCCTGGTGAACCCCACTCAGGTTTGAAGCAAGCTGGGGAGAAAGGAGCATTAGATGTGGGGGCAGCAAGTCCCCTCTTCAGTCCTTCTCAGGCTCTCCTCAGGGAAACCTCCAGACCATCAGAGGGCATGTGTGTGTGTGTCCTGTCGGTCCACCTCCTCCTCCCCCACCCCCACGCCCGCCTACAGTGCCTTGAATTTAGGCACGTATTTCTGTTGAGTGACTCATCCTACGCCCTTGACTTTGAGTCAGGCGTCCTTTTGTTCTAGAACACTGTCACATATTTTAGTTTAAATTGAGTCCCAAATTGGTCTGGAAAAGCTCTCATCTCGGAGCACGGTGCGCAGGCGCGGGGGGAGGGGAGTCGGACACACATGTGGTCGGACAGATGATAGCTGCTCAAGTGTGAAAACGTCTCAGTCTGCCCACGCACTCCTGTCAGAGAGCAGAGCAGAGGCCAAGGGCAGTCTCCAGGGCTGGTACCGACCACCGCAGGAACCAGTCCCCGGTTTCTAGCGTCTCCAGTTCCCTGGACAAATTCTGCGCCAATAAACAGCAGGTACCGCAGACATCTGGAGGGCAAGTCTCCCACGGAGGAAGAGGAGAGTGAAGCCTGCTAGGATCTATTCCCCAAGGCTCCTCAAGGAGTGACCCCTCACATTTGCAAAGTTGTTCAGCCATCCTTTCCACACAGAGAGCTCCACTACTCAGCAAGGGACCAGAGTTCTTAGCACTGTGGGCATCAAGCCCGACACCTGGCTGGTGTTCCAGAGCTGTCAGCTGCCCCATAAGGGATTGACAGAGGCTTGTAAAATCAATCCAGGTCCTTAGTCAGGTGCTAGCTTCAAAGAGGAGGAGCCCCTCAGCCCACCCCCAATCAATGGTCTAACGCTCTGTGATATCTTGGTTTAGCAAAATGACAAGGAACAATGTCATTTCTCAGATTCCTCAGCCATGCATTGAATTTTTTTTCCTTCCTAGATAAACTCAGAATTATTTTGTCAAGCCCCAGTGGGCTGGTTTTAATTGAAATTAGATTCAGTCCCTGGGTTAATTTGTCAGATCTTGTTTGTGACAATGGGAAATCTCCCTAATCAATGACCTCCCTCAAACTGTTACTTTCTTATACTGTCGGTGGTTTATCATGTGGGTCCAGTCTGTTGTCTGCCTGGTCTGCACTGATCTCTGAGCAAACCATTCACTTTGTCTGCTTGGGTACTAGCTCTTTATTGTATTCGTGTAATCGTTATCTTTTTTTTTTGGTTTGTGTCCCAGAGTACAGCTACCTAAAACATCATTGTTCTCTATTATATGGTGACACTCTTAAATGTCCTCTAAGAGAGGGAAGAGATGGCTTAGCAGGTAGCTAAGAGTATTTATCTAAGGACCAAGGTTCCAGGACCCACAGCATGTGGCTCATATCCTGTAATTCCAGTTCCCAGTGACCTGACGCCCTCTTCTGGTATTTGAGGGTACTACATGCACGTAGCACACGCACAGACAAGCAGACACATACATTTAAATAATTTAAATCTTTTTCATTTTAAAATGCCCCCATGGGTATTTTAAGCATTTGATCCTTGGTTTGTGATGTTATTTTGAAGGCTGGAGAGTCCTTAGGAGATGGGTCTCAGCTAGTGGAAATAGGTCCCACTGTTCAAGGCTTTGACATTGATCCTCACCTCTGCTTCCTGGATGGTCACAAACGAAGAGCCTCAGTTGCACCAGAGAGAGCCCTCCCACCGCCGTGCCTCCCCACTAAGGTGAGCAGAGATTCCTTAAGTTATCTCTGCTGGGTGTTTGGTCACAGGGGCTGGAAACAGCCTCATCCTTTAATATGGCCGTCTCTGTGTGTTGCTTCCTTGACCACACCAGCAAGCTTCAAAGTTAATGTTGCTTCCTCTACTTTCTCCTTTTTTTTTTCCTGAAAGGAATGGTGCTCTGTTCCTTCTTTTTATGGACATACTCATTGTAGGAAGAAAATATCATTTTGTTCCTATTTTACTGAGATTCACATACTAAGAAATGGAGTTTGGGTCTCTTTCAAAGGCTCTTTTGGTGCCTAGTAAGAAAATCAAATGATTTTCTTTTTGGTCACCTTCACAGACACTGAGACAAACTGTACTCAGAGTAAGCTCTGCTAATTTTTATGTATGTGTGTCTGCATGTTCATATGTGAGCATGGGTGTGCACATGTGTCAGCACATGTGTAGAGGTCAGAGGACAACCTCGGGTTCTATTCCTTACAGTCCATCTTGCTGGCCTCGTGTTCACTGATGCTGCCCCATGAACATCTGGGGATTCTCCTGTCTCTGCCTCCCACCTTGCCTTAGGAAAAGCAGGATTCCAGATGCATGCTACCGAGTCCAGCTTTCCTACATGGATCTTTGGAACCTGAACCCAGGTCCTCACACTTGCACAGCACAGACTCTGTCCACTGAGACATCTCTCTAGGCATCCCTGAAATGCCTAGACTTCAGCAATTCACAGTGTGTTTATGATTCTGATTTACACAGGACTGTCATGGTTTAAATGAGAACAGCCCCCATAGGCTCAGATATTTGATTACTGGGTCCCAGTTGGTGGAACTGTTTGGGAAGGACGCAGAAGTATGGCCTTGTGGGAAGGGGTGTGTCACTTGGGGATGAGTTTTGAGATTTCAAAAAGCCCACACCATTCTCAGCACTCTTTCCCTCTGCCTCCAACTCTTGGGAAAGATATAAACTCCAAGGCCACGCCTACCTGCCTGCTGCTAAGCTCCCCACCATGGTCATAGACTCACTGTAAACCTTAAATAAACTCTTTGTTCTATAAGTACCGTTGGTCATGGTTCTCATCACAGCAATAGAAAAGTAATTAAAATAAGGACCAGGTGAGATAACCTCACAGCTTATTCATACATACACATACATACACACACATACATATACATACACACACATATATGAGCCATTTCTACAGCCCCTAAATGTTCCTTTTAAATGATCCATTTCCTTGAGGTTTTTGTCTTTATTGCCTATAATACTCCATCTTCACATTCTTAAACCCCTTGGTATTCTCTCTAGTTCTTCATTGATCAAGCTTTCTCTTCTTACACCCAGGCAGAGCAAAGACTTCCTCATTGGTCTTCCCTTGGCTTTTGAGTTGAGTCCTCCATTTCACTTCTACTTTCTCTGGGTTTGCCTGCGGTTGCCGGGCAGGCTGCTGTGCTCACTGATGAGCTCACTGATGATGCCCTGGACAGTCCTCAACCAGAACCCTGGTTCTCTCTAGAGACTTCTCAAACCACCCATCAGCCTCTGTACTCTGGGCCTCTGAGCTCCATCTCTGGGCTCTAAGGCTATAGGCTCCGTACTCAAGTTCTGTGCACTCCACTTAGACCCCATTCCTCCTTCCCTCCTTCCCTCCCTCTCTGCCCACTGGAAGGTGTGAGGAAGGTTTGTTCTTTCCTATATGAACCAAGTGTGTCAGATAAAAGAGGCTCACGCCTATGCTCTTAAAACTAATCCTCACCCACATCTCAACTGGCCCCACTAACCTCTTCCATCCTTGCTGGCTTGATCTGCTAGTCCAGAGAAAATTCTCTCATCTCAAATACCAGGAGTCCTACTTATAATGGGCAAAGGAGATTCCAGATAGTAGTAAGAAAACAGTTATCCACTTCAAGAGGAATACATCCCCCACTTTCTAAGAGGTGTGTGATTTAATACTCAAGTCTGCTTACATATGCTCTCAAACCTTGGCTTTAAAGTATGTAGAGTAAAATGTATAAACATAAGCCCTCACAAAGGTGGGAAATGATAGTGCTTTTATGTCCAGGAGCGGGACTCTCCCTCACCAGGCCTTTGCCCTCAGCCTGCCCTTGTCAGAAGGGCCAATCCACTGTGGAGTGTGCCAGAGTCTTACCCACCCGCGAACGCTCCTCTAGCCAGTGGGTTGGGTTGCGTGCCCAAGCTGAAACTGGACTACCAGGGCCAGAGCTGAGTCGCTCTGCGACCAAGGAGTACTCGTCCTTCTTTCACGAAGGTTCCAGGGCTTAGAGAGTGAAGAAATAAAAATGACCCACTGGAAAATCGATGGGCTTCCCCACAGACGTGATGTAATTAGCAGCCCTGCCAGTCAGTGCCTAGAAGTGCTTCATGAAGCATTTCCTGCAAGAAATTAAGGCCCCGTCCAGTGGCTTTTCGATAACAGGAATAATACATCTGAATTCCATTCATTCAGAGATGAATTTCAGTGGCTGTTGCTCTTTATGTGCAGCAGCTGAACAGCTTTAAATATTTGGATGTCTTCCTGATCATATTTAGAACAAGAGCGGAAGCCATGAATTACAGGGTACCACACCGGATGTGTTTATTGCCCGTGATCCATTTTACAGCCTTGTCCCTTGACGCTTGCGATGCTAAAGACATCACTGTAAGCTGGTTCAGAGACCTCCAGAGGTGCCTCTCAGGTTCACCCTCTGGAGCAGGGGTCTCGGGGTTTGGCCAGGGGTGGATTCTCTCTCACCAACACCATTCTCACCCACAGTGCCACCAGTCATCCGCGTCTATCCAGAGACCCAGGCGCAAGAGCCTGGAGTGGCGGCCAGCCTGCGATGCCATGCTGAGGGCATTCCCATGCCCAGAATCATTTGGCTGAAAAATGGCATGGATGTCTCATCCCAGATGTCCAAACAGCTCTCCCTCTTGGGTAAGAACTGCACATGAATCCCAGGACAGGAAATGAGAGGTAAGATCATGGCTGAGCCTGGCGCACTAGAGGAAACAGAGGTCCCCTGATGACTGGCACACAGGTCTCGTGGACATCTGAGAGGCTGTTGGCCAGATTCCAGGGCACCCTCTGTATTTTAGCAGTGCCAGCCTGTCCTGAGCCCAGTCCCAAGAATGATGGCTGCCCCCGGCCACACCCAAAGACTGTGTATTTAGCCTGACATTCTTCAGAGATCCTGAGAAGGTGGTAGGGAGGGCACATGAAAGGGTGTTCCCCTGAGAGCACCACCCTGAGCCACTGTCCCTTCTACAGCCAATGGAACTGAACTCCACATTGGCAGCGTTCGCTATGAAGACACGGGGGCATATACGTGCATTGCCAAGAATGAAGTGGGCGTGGACGAAGATATCTCCTCCCTCTTCATTGAGGACTCAGCTAGGAAGACCTGTGAGTCCACTCTTGGCTCTGAGACCCTTGCTGAGCTGTTTGGGAATGTTAGGGGGACAAGGGGGGTGCATTAATTCTCAAGGCCACAGTCACCAACTGGAAGCCTCTGAAGCTGGGACAAATCTATTTCCTCTGTGCACAAAGCTAGTTACAGATGGTGACCTTCTCAGGCAACCTAGACAGCTCTGGAAATATAAATGATTGGAGTCTCTGGTCAGGATACAGAGCCCAGGGCCACAAGGAGGCCCAGATAGCCCAGCTGTGCCCCCTGCCTCCTATGTGATGAATGACTGGACACTTGGTCCCAAAAGCCTTTATGCCACCAGGTGCTCCATCCCAGTGGTCCCCTCTCATCTGTGGTTTTTCTTCCTTTGATCCAGAAATGAACCCTTAAGGTTTTTTTATGTGTGCTTTGGTGCACAGGTTCCCAGAAGCCAGAAGAGAGGGCCAGATCCCTTGAAGCTGAAGTTACAGGTGGTTATAACCCCCTGATGTGGGATGCTGGGAACTGGACTCTGGTCCTCTGGAGGAGCAGCATATGCTCTTAACCACTAGGCCATTTCTCCAGCCCCTTTAGTAGCTTTTCATCAGAGTGTTGTACCTATCCTATTGTATGAATAGCTAATCTTGTGCTGCCTGGTTTATAAATTGAGCTTTATCATAGGCACACGTGCACAGAGGAAACACGCATGAATGGGATTTAGCACTGTCTGGTACGGGGGCTACTGGAGAGTACGCAGCTGGGAGTGGCCCCTGCTCTAGGAATCATACCCTCCTCATGGGTCAAGTGTGTTCCTCGTAGCCACTGCTCCCCGGGGGGTTCTGCAGGCAGAATTCATGCCATGGGTGTCATTCAGTCCCTTTCCTGCAGCCAGACTCCAAACTAAGCCTTTGTCATCGAAACAATATTCTTCCTTCAAGTGTCCTGACAGAAAATCAACTTTCCTGGAAGTGACCTAGGAAGTCAGGGAGAGATGCTATGCTATGCACTCCTTATTGTCCACAGAGCCGGGGAGTGGGGATTAGCTGCTGGGACTCTGGGACCGAGTTTTAAAGATTGTTTAGAAAGCAAAAGCATCCTGAGGCCCAGAAGTATCCACCTGGGTCTTCCTCGTAGACTGATATCGTTGGTCCAGGGTCGTGAACTGATACTGTTGCTGGGCTGTTGAGAGATGCAGAGTCTTTCAGTGACGAGTTGGTACAAGAATGCCCCTCAGTGGACTGAACCAAGAAATCCCAGCAGCAAAGGTCTGACATTGTCCTTTTTCTTTCTCTTCCGGCTGTCATGCTGCTGCTCTCCAAATTCTCGGCTGCTACAGTAGCAAACATCTTGTGGCGGGAAGAAGGTACTGAGTGCGGTTGTCTTGGGTCGTGTGTGCTTGGTTCCACAGTGGGCTACCTTTCCCTTCCCCATCAACCTTGCAGAGCCTGTGCACCGGTGGGGGAGTGGGGTCATAGTCAAACTCACATGGCACACACGTGGGCAGTCCAGTTTCCTGAGCATTGGGCACTGAGTCTGACAGTACATGTGAGGGGCAGGTGCCAACAGCAGGATTGCTGGCTGTGACCCTTGGTGCACTGTCTGGCTGCCATGTGCACTCAGCTTGTGCCCTGTGCCTTTTAAGGAATGGTTTACTGCTAGGCTGAGGTTACTGCAGAGGGACTCGGGTTTGCACAGTGGAGACTTGTAAGTCTACTGGGGTGGCTATGCATTTTAGGTACCTAAGTCACATTAAAGCCACCTCAGAGTATAGGGCTGGTGGGGGCTGCATCCGGTTAAATGAAGCATTGCACAAACCCCATCTCACCTTGGTGGCTGCATGCTATGCCCTTCTCTGCTTATATTCAAATCCTGGGGGGGGGATACAGAAGCCAAGAGGAAGGGCCCACATGCTTCAGAGCACTCTCAAATCATAATCAGAGAAAGATGAGACCAAACAGCAGCAGCAAAGGAAGCTGGGAGCCCTTTGGAGCCCCATAGCAGAAACTAGATTTCAACAGAACCTTGGGGGGGGGGGGCAGATCAGGAGGCTGGGTCTCCTGTGAGGTTGATTGTGTGTTGAATGAGTATTGACTCTCACATTCCCACACACTGAGAGCACTGCACTCAGCCAGAAATGTAGCTGTGTCTACAAGCCCCATGTGGGCTACATTAAGCTGTCAATCTTATGTTGGCTCTTCTGGTGATTGACTTTCAAAGCAGCCCCTGGAGGCTGTTCCCAGACTTGCTGTTTCAGTCCAAGATTTCCAGGTAGGCCATTCATGACAGAGGTGTTTTGGCAAGCTGCCTCAGACAGAGATGCTGTGGGGTAGCAATGAGGCACATGCACGTAGATAGCCTCCTAGAATCCTGGAGGGACACCCAGGATTGACGCCTGAGATTGCTTTCAGGTGCTCCCCAGGCTGGACATCTTTCAAGAATGGGGTTCCAGATGCATAGCAACAGGGGTACTGGGTACTGCAGATCTGTAGTGGGCTACAATAGTTCCCAGCCTTGGGGACACTTCTTTACGTCATCCCAACTACCATCAAGAAGTATTGTGGATGGACTGTCTCCCCTTCCCCACCGGGATAGTGTGTTATGTCTTCTTGCCCCACTGCTGTGCCTCGTGTGACCCTACCAGTGGCTAGAAGTTCATGACCACAAGTGTTCAACCTTCCCAGGCCTCAGCGTGGGAAACGTGTTCTATGTCTTCTCCAACGACGGCATCGCTGTCATCCACCCTGTGGACTGTGAAGTCCAGAGACGCCTGAAGCCTGCGGAGAAGATCTTCATGAGTTATGTGAGTTTCTACGGCTGAGGCAGCTTCCGCATCATGCACAGTCAAAATCCAGAGGTCATGCTCCACGTGTGCATGCATGTATGAGAGACTGGGTTTCTTCAGTTCTGGTCATTACATGTGGGTGTGATTCCAGGCTAAGGGAGACGCCTAAGGCAGGGAATTTTAACTCTCCCTCCTCCATCCAGCAGCTGTGAGGGTCAGGTTCCACTGGGTTTGTGGCCCCTAGAAGTTCATAGTCAGATAGAGGCAGCAAGGTGAACAGACAGCATCTAGACAGGTATTCTTGCGGTAGACTTTGGCATGGACACACTTGAATGAATGCCCAGAGTTCCAGAGGTGCTACAAATGAAACATGAAGCCAAGTATGAAGTGACAGGGGCAAGGATGGGGCAGCAGTAGAGGTAACCCCTGGGGATAGATCCAGAGCAGCCCTCCCCACTGCCATTCTCCTGGGTTTCTCTGCTCTGTGGTTCCCTCGGCCTGCCTATCCCTGAGCTGTAGCACACTGACTCTGTGTCAGGTCACAGTCCTGTTCTCCAGGACTTCGTAGAATGCTGTGATACCAAGCAGGGGAGACACTAGTGAGAGAGGCCAGGTGTGGGAGGCAGAGTGCTCGGCACACCCTGGAGTTTAGAGGCCTATGAAGAAACCAAAGAGACTAGAGGGATGGGACACGTCTGAGCTGAAGATGCAGATCTGGGTGCCAACTGCTTGTGAGTGTTGTCAAAAGCTGAGGGGTGGACAAGGGCATGTGCAGTTGGCATGAGAGGGGCATCCAATGGAGCCCTGACCCATCCACAGCTCAGAGGCGGGCAGGCAAGCTAAGAGAAACCAAAGAACAGGAACACAGGGTGACAGAGAAATCCAAGAGAACAGGTTTCACAGAAGGCAGGGAAAAAAACAATGTTCCCATCTTTTAAAACACAAAACAAAAGGACCAGAAGGAAGGAAGGAAAGCAACAAGCTCCTAGTTTTGCATAGAATGAATGAGCAAGCCTGGAGAAAAGGAATGAAAGGTTGATTTTAGACATGCACGTTTGAGATGCCATATTAGTCACCATTGTAGACAAGAGGTAGCAACAAGTAAGAGTGGAGCCTACACAAGAGGCTTGAAGACAGAAACTTGGTTAAGCGCTTTGCCTGCAAGCATGAGGACCCAAGTTAGCGATCCTTGAACCAGCATTAAAAGGAGACATGGCTGGAAAAATGGCTCAGTGGTTAAGAGCACTTGTTGCTCTTGCAGGGGACCCAGCACTCACATGGTGGTTCACAACCATCTGAAACTCCAGTTCCAGGAGATCCGATGCCCCCTACTGGCCTCCAGAGGCATCAGGCACACATGTGGTATACATGTAATCATGCAAGCAAATCGTTTGTTTTTTTTTTTTTTTTAATGTTTGTAATCCCAGCCTGGGGAAACAGAGGCAAGCAGATTGTCGGATTCATGGGCTAGCTAGCCTAACCTATTTGATAAACTCTAAGACACTGAGAAACCCTCTCTCAAAAATAGTAATAGAAGAATAAGGTGGAAAGCCTTGGAGGATGACATGGCCTCCAGAGGCATTGTGCAAACTTGTTCATATATGAACACACACACACAAACATGCACGCACAAATCTGGGAGTGGTAAATGTCCAGACAGTACGTAAAGCTGTAGGTCTCAATGAGATAAACAAGGGAATGGGCTTCAGAGAAATCCAGGAATGGACCCTGGGCCATTCCACACAGAAAGATCCGCAAACTGAGTGACGTAGTGTTGACCTTGGTGAGGAAGGTGAGGGTCAAGTGATAATTAGTGAAATGGCAGGGCTTGCCTGCCATTTTTGTGTATGAATCCCAAAGAGTTTGGGAAGAGAGAAAAAGGGATCCAGGAGGGTTAAGGGAGAGGGACCCCAGAGATGGAGAGGGGCAGAAGAACAGATACATGGCTGTCTGTCTCCTTACAGGAAGAAATCTGTCCTCACAGAGAAGGAGATGCCACCCAGCCTTGCCAGTGGGCATCTGCAGTCAACGTCAGGAACCGGTACATCTATGTGGCCCAGCCAGCACTGAACAGAGTCCTTGTAGTTGATGTTCAAGCCCAGAAAGTCTTACAGGTAATAGCTCTTGGAAGAAGTGGGAAAGACTTGGAATCCCGGGGCCACCTCTGCTGTGTGCACACTCCCCAGCTCCTGTGAAAAGGGCTTAGCCTGGAAAGAGACTCCTGTATAACAGTCTATCAAATATAGATTACTATGTGCCCAGCACTATTGTAAATGCAAAAAAATAGCCATGAATGATTGCACTAGAGTCCCTGGTGCACGATTTTAGTCAGGGAGGCAGAAGGCAAAGCCAAGTTTCAGGGCGCCATAAGAGCGGTGGAAAGCCAGGGTTAGTGTGACAACAGGACTGTGAGACTATTGTCTTACCGCTGCACAGAAGCCGAGATCTGAACGCCACCTAGGACCCAGACCATGGAACCATTGTGCAGTGATGAGGGCCAGAGTGGAGACAGTGAGCTTAGAGATAAACAGAAGCTAGTCCCTCAAGGGTCCTGGGGGCCAGCTGGGCTGTAGAATAAGATCAAGGCAGAAGAGAAAGCCATGAAAAGGTTTCTGAGCATCAATACAACTGCTACTTTAAGAATGGCAAGAAGACAGAGCAGGGATGGGTGGAACTTGTTCCAGACATAAGATGGTGGCAATAGCAGAAGGCCATGATGAGAATACCAGACACACTTTGTTGTTTTTAGATCTGTGTGTATGCATGTGAGCGCCAGCTGCTCTATCGCTGGAGTTACAGGCAGTCACGAGCCTACTGCAGTACTGGGAACCTAGCTTCACTCTTCTGGAAAAGAAGCAAGCACTCTTAGCTCCTGAGCCATCTCTCCAGCCCTCCTAAAATTCTTTCTGATGGTTAACTGTAAAGCTTGAGAGGGGACGAAGACAAAAGAAAAAAAGCATTATGTGGGTCTTTCGTTAGCTTGAGCATAGAATGGTTACATCATTTATAACATTTGATAGGTTAAATAATGCCCTCAGGACATTCCATCCCAGAAAACCGAATGTTTCCTTATATAGCAAAGGGGACAGTATAGGTATGGCTGAGGATTTTTCAAGTCAGGAGATCCTGAAAGATTCAGGTGGACCCCGACTGCAATCACGGGTATTTGTGTAAGAGGGTGGCAGAGGAAAATTTGACCACAGTTGAAGTCATGGATGCAAGGATTGAAGCAAGATGCATTTCAAGGTAGAGAGCAGAGCATGGAGCAGGTGGGAGGGAGATAAATGGTGTCAGATGTTTAAGCAGCTATGTCAAGTAAACAGGTCTAAGGTCAAAAGAGGCTGGAGCTGTCAATTTGAGCATCATTGCCCTGTGGCCTGATTAAATCTAGAAAACTGGTTGAGATCACCCAGTGTATCCCGACAGGAAAGGGCTCAACAGAGGCAGCTGTACAGAGGGATTTCAATACAAAACTAAAAGTATAAAGATGAGGAAGGGGTGCCAAAGAATGTTTTCAAGGAAGTGCTATCCCAGGGTGTGTATGCTATTGGAATATCTGTTTCCACACTCTTCCCACACATATCATAGTACACGATTGTAGTGGACTCCAGTGCACACAGATGGGGACACCAGCCTTAACCAAGAAAATATTCCTCCACTAGGTACAATTCAGGGGCCGTAGGTAGATTACTGTCTTTTGAATACTTTTTTCAGTAAAAGAGAAGGAAGATTATCACCAGGGCTGGAGGTTTGAGGAGAAAGGTGAAAGCTAAGTGTGAGGTTGGATTGACAGGCACGGGTGCAGGGAATGCTGGGCAATAGGGATCACCCACTGAAGGACTGCGACTAGAAACTTAACCGGAAATCAACCGGCAGAGTGGTCTCTGCCCTGCCCTGTGAAATACGTGTTAAGAACATTTGATATAGCCAGCGCTGTGGTTTGTCCTGGTATATGCAACAGGTTTTCAGTTTGATTCCCATGAACAGAAAACACACTGAGTAATTTTTATCTTTTCGAGTATACTAAAGCTTATTTTGAAACAGAGCTCATGATATTTAAACTTTGATAAATGTTTTGTGTTTACTTTACAAGAACATGTATGCTGGTATTCGATGAGCTATTTAATATGTGTCAGTTTTGTCAAGTTGATTCATTGTGCTGTTCAGATTGCCTTTCTCAGGTGATTCGTTTTGTCTGTCTGGTCTATCAGCTGCTGAGGTGTGTTTTCAAAATCCACTGTGGCTGTAGAGTTATCTGCTTCTAAGAGTTCTATCCATTCTTACTTTGTCTCTGGTAATGCTGTGAATCTGTTTTATTTTTTAAAAAATGTTAGGATGGCTAAATCATATATATATTGGTTTTTCAAAACAGGGTTTCTCTGTATAACAGACCTGGCTTCCTATAACTTGCTTTGCATACCAGGCTGACCTCGAACTCACTGAGATCACCCTGCCTCTGCCTCCCAAGTGTTGGGATTAAAGGTGTGCACCACCACTGCAAGGCTGCTAAATCATATTTTAATTACCATTCTCATGCTACAATTTTCCATCCTTTTACTTTCCAACCTCTCTATGCCTTATATTTAAGATCTTCTTTCATAGCATCTAAGTTTTTATCTAGCATAACAATCTTAGTCTTTTACTTAAAATAGTTGACCCATTTATATTTAATATAATTTGTATAGTTGAGTGTTCCTATAATGTTTCTTACCTTATTTGAACTGTTTATGTTGCTTGATTTTGGCTTTGCCAAAGAGTTTTATCCTGCTCTTTTTCCCCCTCTATTTATTGAAGAGGTACACATTAGTATCACGGAGACTACAACACACATCCTTACACTGATACTATCACATGCAAATTGTTACTTCGTGTCTTGGCTTCCTTTCTTGCGTCTGTGCTAACATATCCTGACAAAAACATGTAAGGGAGAAAGAGTATAGTTCTGATTACAATCCATTATTGCAAGGAATCAGGTAGGAAGCTGATGTCCCCAGTCATGTTACATTGATGGTTAAGAGCAGAGAACAGGGCTGGAGAGATGGCTCAGCAATTAAGAGCACTGGCTGCGCTTCCAGAGAACCTGGGTTCAATTCCTAGTACTGACATGGAAGCTCACCACAGTCTATGATTCAAGCAAGCTCTAGGAGTTCTGACACCTTCACAGAGAGGCACATGCAGGCAAAACACCTATGCACATAAAATAAAGATAATTTTTTAAAAAAAAGTTTTAAAAGAGCAGAAAACAGTGAATTAGTAAAGGCATGCTTGTGCTTAGCTCACTTTATCCACTCTTAATCCAGAATCCCTTGCCTAGAGAATGGTGCTACCCACAGTGGGAGGGACATCCCGCTTCCCATATCATAATCAAGATAATGTGACATAGGCATGCCCAGCGGCCCCTCTCCCAGACGATTCTAACTTACATCAAATATAAAGTGTAGAAGGACTTTCCTTTGGGTCACCAGCTCCCAAATAATGATACAAAGACTTATTAATTATTAAAGCTTGACCTTAGCTTAGATTTGTCCCACTAGGTCTTATACTTTAACCCATATTTTTAAGTCTGTGTTCTACAACATGGCTTTTACCTCTCTCCCATTCTGTGTGTCTGACTTGTTCTACATCTCCATAGCATCTCCTGTGGGTCTCAATCACCCTCTTTGTCTCTCTGCCAAGAAGTCCCACCTATCTTTCCTGCCTAGCTATATAAGTTGTTCAGTTTTTTATTACACCAATCACAGCAATACTCCTACAGCAATAAAGTTTAACACTAACCATCATACTTCATTTCCTCAACAATGGTAAAATACTAACTCCTTTAACCTTCTGCCTGCCTTTTGTATTATTATATATTGTTATTATGTATAAATATATATACATACATATATCCAGGCAATCACTGATATTTACCCAAATATTTACTTTCTAGTCCACTTTATTACTGAGGTAGGTGGTAGTTGTTCTGACAATGTGTCACTCCATAGCCCAGGCTAGCCTTACACTCACAATCCTCCTGCCTCAGCCTCCAAAGTGCTGGAATGAGGCCATTTTTATTAGTTCTTCTGCTGGCAACAGATCTCAGTTTTGTTTGACGTAAAGATATTTTCTCTTTATTTCTGAATAATTCTAGCTGACAGTTACTTTCCTTCAGCATTTTAAGATGCCATCCATATCTTCCCCTGTTGCTGAACCAACTGTATTTTCCATCTCTCCTTCTCTGAGTTCCTCTCTGGTTAGAACTCTAACTGCAATGTTTCTCATATGGAGATCTTTGTATTTATTCTGATTAGAGGTCTCCAGAGGCTCTTGAGTTTGTGGACTGAGCATTTAACAGATGGGAAAATTCTCAGCAATTATGTCTTTAAATATTCTGCTGTCCCGTGCTCACTTTCTTCCTGAGGAGCCAGTCTTTAAAATGTTTGCCTTTCCATTGTACCCACATCTTCTCCTCTTTCAGTCTTGTAAGTCCTACAGTGTGTCTTCCAGTTTGCTAATCCTACCTTCTCCTTCATCTAAGGTGGGGTTTTCTGTTTCTTGTTATATCAGAAATTCATTTTTAGCTTCAAATTTTCTATTTAATTCCCAAATTCTTTTTTGGTGTTGTTTGTGGTTTTGGTTTTTTGAGACAGGGTTTCTCTGTGTAACAGCTCTGGCTGTCCTGGAACTTGCTTTGTAGACCAGACGAATCTCAAACTCACAGAGACCAGCCTGCCTTCAGATTGCTAGGATTAAAGTCATGTGCCACCACCCCAACCCATCCCTGGCTGCAAATAAATTCTTAATTGTCTTCTTGTGGCCCTTCACATTATGATTTTGAATACTAAAAAGACATCTGCCTCTTGAAATGCCTAGCGATTTATTTTTAATCCAAACTTTCTACGTATTTTTAAGTTGGAAAGTATTTAAATGACTGTCATCCATTGGAAAGGATTTACCCTTTCATCTGCTAGGCAGAAAGAGGAGCGAGTTGATCATTTTAAAATTTCTCTAGGGCCAAGTCTGCTCAGTCCATCCCCTAATCCTGGGGCTTTTAACTCAGGCTCTTGCTCCTGCCAGACTCCAGCAGCTCAGCATAGCGAGACTATGGGAAATCCCGTGCTGAGTTTAATCAATGTCTGGCTTAGTCTTCATCTCCCTCTCCCACAGCACTGATTAAGAGCATGAAATCTCACAGGAAGGGATGGGAAGGGAAGACAATGGCTACTGTCTAACACCTAGGAAATTCTGGTGATGAGTGGGATGAGTGGAGAGAGATCTTTAACGAGAAAGTTGAAGGACTGGAAGGTGGCTCAGCCGTTAACTTCCTCAGATGATAGCGTTACTGTGTCACAAAAACCTCCAAGTAGGATTACGGCAGCGCTAGGTGCCTGAGCCTTTGGTAAATGTACCAGTTACTTGTCTTGTTGCTGTGACCAAATGCCTGACATGAAGCAACTGAAGAGAGAGGGTCCCAGTCCGTCCCAGCAGCAAGCATCTCCAGTGGGAAGTGGCTGGCCATCTTGAGTCCACAGTCAAGAAGGCGAGAGATAGATGCTGGTTCTCAGAATGCCTTCTCCTGCTCCCCTTTCCAGTCAGCCTTGAACCCAGGCAGTGGAAGGCTCAGCCCACATTCTCCTCTCCAGAACACGCTCATAAGTGTAGCTCGAGGTGTGTCTCCCGGGGGATTTCCAAAACCAGTCCAGATGAGAGCAAACGCTGACCACCACAATGAGCGGAAGCAGGGAGACATGCAGAGCTCACAGGAGGCTACATCACCCTTGAGGGTCAGTCAGGGCTAGTAATTAGAGACTCTCCTTGGGACTCAGGTAGGTGTTATCAGAAGCGAGACTTTAGGGGCAGTGGGGATAGAAGAAGGAACACATTTCAACAGCAGGGAGCGAAATTGTAAGTTCAGTTCTGCACATGTGGGTGAGATCCTCAACAGAGAAGACCTGGGACATAGTAGCTCTTGGTCAGAGGAAGAGGAGAAGCCAGGGAGGCCAATGGAATATCTCTAAAAGGCAGTTGTGAACACATAACATCCTGCAATGCTAAGAGGAGGGTCATGAAGTGGCAAATGAACTTTTTTTTTTTTTTTTTTTTTTTTTTTTTTTCGAGACAGGGTTTCTCTGTGGCTTTGGAGCCTGTCCTGGAACTAGCTCTGTAGACCAGGCTGGTCTCGAACTCACAGAGATCCGCCTGCCTCTGCCTCCCGAGTGCTGGGATTAAAGGCATGCGCCACCACCGCCCGGCTGCGAATGAACTTTAGAGGAGGCCTGGGACACCTCTCCAGGGATGGGAGCAGAAAATGAGAAGTGGGCAGGGGGCTCAAAAGACAGCTATTTAGCAAAGTTTGTGTGGACAAAGATGGTCATTTTCCCCCATGGACTAACCAGGCGTGAAAGTGAAATTTCAGAAATTATGTTGATGAGGTATAAGCTATGGTGGTGAAGGAAGTGGAGGAAAAGCCATTGAAACAATTGGAGAAAGGGATTTGGGGACACGTGCTGGCTAGTTTTATATCAGCTCGACACAAACTATAGCCATCTGAGAGGAGGAGGCCTCAACTGAGAAAATGTCTCCATGAGATGGTGCTGTAGGCAAGCTGCCTATCAGTTATTTTCTTAATTGGTGATCAATGGGGGAATTCCCAGTGCATCATGGGTGGGGACACACCTGGGCTGTTTGTTCTGGGCTCTATAAGAAAGCAGGCTGAGCAAGTCATGAGGAGCAAGCCAGTAAGCAGCACACACACACACACACACACACACACACACACACACCGTGGCCTCTGCATCAGCGCCTGACTTCAGGCTCCTGCCTTGTTTGAGTTCCTGTCCTGACTTCCTTCTATGATGAACAGTGATATTGAAGCATAAGCCAAGTCAACCCTTTCATTCCCCGAGTTGCTGTGGTCATGGTGTTCCATCACAGCAACAGTAACCCTAAGATAGGGCTCACCCATATGGATTTGAAGGCATCAAATTTGGTGGCCAATTGGGCAGAAAAGATGACAGAGAACCTGTGTCTGCCTCTTCACTGAGCATGGGGGTTATGAAGAGCTGGTGGTTCACAGTCCATTATTAAAGATCATTAAAGAAGATTTCTGTAGCATAAAAGCTGCACTGTGGGGCTGGAGAGATGGCTCAGCGGTGGAGAGGGCTTGTTGATCTTGCACAGGAATTGAGCTTATTCCCACCACCCACATTAGGTGACCCACAACCACCTGTAACTCCAGTTCTGGTGTCCAAAGCCCTCTTTCTGACGTCCTCAAGCACCTGAACTCACATGCAACATAGACATATTTTTTTTTAAAGATCTACATTCTAAAAGGAAAAGAGCATCCTTGGAAGAAGCTATGGCCTCAGCAGGTAGCAGACTTTCCACTGCTGCCATTTAAAAGGGGAGCGTGTGCCTGCCTGATCCCGTAGTCTTGATTCCAGAGCCTTCAACTGCTGGATGTGTGACAAAGAGGCTGCACAGGGTGGAACAAAGATCAGAGCTGGGTAGCAACTCAGATGATTCTGGGAAAGGACCAACCCACCAGAACCCAGGTGGATGCTGAGGGTCCAAGATGCCCCTAAGGCTCTAGGAAGACTAAAGAGTCCCCAAAGCTGAAAATTGAATGGAAGTCTTAGAGCCTCTGTGCTCAGTCTCTTCCCGAGTTGTCCCTAGGATACTTTAGGTGAGATATAAGCAAGAAACTAAGTTCTTCAAAGAGACAAGTCACTGAGTCCCTTGTCCTCTGAGGACAAAGTCCATGGGACGACTTCTACACTAGGTTTCCAAGCAGGATAATGGGCAAGGGTTCGAGGCCAGCTTCCCGGCTCCCCTAGTGAGATAACCACATACGTGAACGTCCAGAATGAGCATCGTGTCAGCCTCAGCAATGACCAACTTGTCACTATTTCTTTTCAAGTCCATAGGTGTGGACCCTCTGCCAGCTAAGCTGTCCTACGACAAGTCACATGACCAAGTGTGGGTCCTGAGCTGGGGGGACGTGCACAAGTCCCAGCCAAGCCTGCAGGTACGTGGAGTATGTTGAAACTGACACGCAGCCTCTAGCAGGATTCTGTTGCAATAAAACCATTGTCCTGTGCTCCCTGGGTGGCCATCTATCCAAACTGTTTCCACAAAGGCTTGAGAAGGAAACAGGAAACAGTAAGCTTTACCTGCCCATCTAAGAAACTCTCAGTTGAGAAACTGTCTAGAGCAGAGTGGCCCATAGGCATGCCCATGGGTGAATAGTCTTAATTGTTAGAAGTAGGAGGATCCAGTCCACTGTGGGAGGCACCATTCCCTATACAGATGGCTCTAGGCTGTGTAAGAAGGCTAGCCAACTATGAGCATGTACCCAAACCAGCAAGCAGCAGCCTCCAGGCTCCTGCCTAAGTTCTAGCCTTGACTTCCCTCAAAGAGGAACTGTGACTCGGAAGTGTGAGCCAAATAAATCTTTTCCCTCTTAAATTTCTTTAAGTCAGAATATTTTATTATACCAATAGAAGGAAGCCAGAAACCGCCTCTAAGCAATGTTCTCATTAGGCAATTCACAGGGTATCTTCACCCAGGACTGCAGCTGAAAAGAAAGTAAAATGATCAAATTCTAATTTCATGACAACCCAGTCCCTACCCAGCTGTATCACACCTGCTTCTCCTGACTCAGTAGCTCTTAGGGACAGATAGGATGTCTCTAGAGTCCAGACAGTGAAGAGGAAGACAGGATTTTCTTCTCCTTTGAATAAGCAGACCATCTAGACAGCAGTGCTAAGCCATAAATGTGGGTTTTTTCCATTGTTCTCTGTTGTTACAACACAATGCCTGAAGCTGGGTGATGTAAAAAGGAAAAGATATATCTTCTCTCACGGTTTTATCTGAGACCAAGCAGCCCTATCTGGTCAGCTTCTGGCAAGAGGGGCAGCAATGCCATCCGCCATCACGGTGGACATGTAGAAAAGGGAAGCAGATGGGTGAAGAAGGGGTACACGTGCCAGCAGGTAGCCACAGATAGTTAAGTCATCTGCCCATGGTCCTGGCCCACTCAGCATGGCTCTGAAGCCCCTACACTGCACCTCCTGCCTCCTGAAAAGAGGCGAGGCTCTGCTGATCTGTAGAAATCCCCCACACACACACCAGCTAGGGAGGTTTGACACTACCTGGCCCTGCCTCTCTCCCCAGGGATCCACTAAGCCCTATGAAAAAGTCACTTGATGGTCAACTCTGTTCTCCTAAAAAGCAGTACACAGAACCATCTGCATACAAGGAGGAGTTAACACATTGCATGCACATGAATGATTTGGCCAATAGGGTTGACTGTCTTTAGAACCCACAGAAGTAAATGGAGACAGCTCAGCCCTGTTCTCCTCCCAGCCTTTGCTGGACCCAGTGGAGAGATACCAGTTCCAGTGAACCTGGCAACGCAAAGAGCTTACCAAAGGTCCTGGGAGCCAAAATAAAGGTCGCCGAGAACAGAAAATGAGCTGGAAGAGCTGCGGGAGACTCTCTTACTCCTTTTTCTCTGTCACCAAATGCCCTCTGAACCGCTTGTGGGCACAGCCCATCACAGCAGGGAAGGCATGGCAGCAGGAAAGCCTCCTAGGTGTGGCAGTGGGAAGAGCTGGCTACCTGCTCACATTTCAGTGGCTAGGATGTGGACAGGGTACCATAAACAAACGTCAGGCTGTACTCATCAAGGTCCTCCCTCCCTCCAGCAGCCTGCTTTCTCCAGTGATGTGTCACCTCCCAACACAGCGTCACCAGACGAAGACCAAGTGTTCAAACCCATAAGTGTGTGGGGGACATGGCACAACCAAACCACAACAGGGACAGATTTCCCGAGAACGCTAAGAATGAAATCCAAAGGGGGGGTCACCAGAAAATTGGTCTTATTTCAACTAAAAATGAATGAAACCAGCTTCCAAGTTTAAAACTAAGTGATTTAGAAAGTTTTAAAAAAAAATGTATCCTTGTGAAGTAGCCTGAAAGAAAAAGAAAATCTTCCTGAAGAGAAAAACCTATGAAGGTTTGGAGATGTGGGGCAGGATCCTGTAACACCCAAAGAGGAGGGTCACAGTTGAAATCGAATCAAACATTAAATGTGCTAGGAACTTGGGAATTTGAGGCAGAAGGATGCCCGTGAGTTCCAGGACAACCAGGGAGACATAGTGAGACTATCGAAAAAGGAATAAACAAGTTTGGAACATAATTGTTGAACTGTAATGATGCCGGGCGGTGGTGGTGCACGCTGGATCTCTGAGTTGGAGAACAGCCTGGGCTACAAAGTGAGTTCCAAGAAAGCCAGGGCTACACAGAAAAACCCTATCTCAAAAAACAAACTGTTATCATGTGGGTTCAACAAGATCTAGGACTGGAGAGAGGGCTCAGAGAGTAAGGGTCTTGTCACACAAGCCTAAGTGCCAGGGTTCAAATCCCCAGAAGCTGTGTAAATGTGGAAGAAGAGAACTGACTCCACAAAGTTGTCCTCTGGCCCCCACACATGCACCATGGTGTGTGCATGTAAGCACACACTCATTCTCAAAGGCAGGGCTCTACACATCCCAGTCCTAAGTGATGAGAAGCAATATATCTCTTGTTAATTCTTCATAAAATTCTAGAACTCCAAGAAAGAACCTCTGACAAGGGAAGCCCTTTTGGGTTGGAAAACAAATCACCCATAAAAGACAGACAACCAGGTTGACATTAGATTTCCCCACCCCCTGTAACAGTAGCTGAAAACCACAAGTTACATCTATGTGGTTGGAAGAGCAAAGACTGAGCATTCAAAGTCCTGTCCCAGCAAAGACCCCACTTACCCGGGAAGACAAGAGGGTGTGTGAGCACCCAGGGTCTCAGCACTAAAGAAACAGGAGGGGACATCAAGGGAAGATATAAAGCAAGCATCAGATGAGCCAGACCAGAGACATTATCACAGTGTAGAGAGAGAAAGGAAGCACAGCACTGAGGGACAGAGAAGGTTTAAGAGAGGGCTAAGGAGGGAAACACCTGGAAATGTATGTGCTAAGTAAAGCCACAGACTTGGGGACTGAAAGAGAAATAAAAATATAAACTAAGTGTCACTTACTGTAATCAAGAGTGGGTGGAGGCAGGGCAGAGTGAAAATTTAAGTCTCACTTTGTTGGGATAAGAAGGGTGAAGAAAATATTGAAGCATGGATACCCTATTTCTCCAATATCTCTTTAGTTTTGGCTTGGTTTCATATTTTGAGGTTTCTCTGTGTAATAGTCCTAGCTGTCCTGGAACTCACTCTATAGACCAGGCTGGCTGCAAACTCACAGAGATCTGCCTGCCTCTGCCTTCCAAATGCTGGGATTAAAGGCGTGAACCACTACCACCTGGCTAGAATTCTTTCTTTAATGATTTTTTATGTGCATTGTTATTTTGCCTGGATGTCTGTTTGAGGGTATCAGACATCCTAGAACTGAAATCACAGACAGCTGTGAGCAGTCGCATGGGTGCTGGGAATTGAACTCAGGTCCTCTAGAACAGCCAAGTGCTCTTAACCCCTGAGCCATCTCTCCAGCCTACTATATTTTTTAAAAGCAAAGATGTACCAGGGGTATAGGGTGTAACTATAGGTGATGTGCTTCTCTGACAAGCACAAAACCCCAGATTCCTTCCCAAGAACTACAGAAAACCATACATGGCAGTGTATGTCTGTAATCTCAGAACTTGGGAAGTAGGAGCACAAAGATCGAAAGTCTAAGGTCAGTCAGCCTCCACTCCAGAGTGAATTGGAGGCTAGCCTGGGCTACTTGAGAGAGATCCTGTCATTTATAAATAAATAGAATGGTTTGATTGGGCTTTAAGAAGAAAAATATTAGATATAATTTGTTTCTAAGAAATATAAAGCCAAGTTTGGCGACACTGACCTATAATCACAGCTACTCAGAAGGTCAAGGAGAGAGGGTCACAAATTCAAGGCCCACTTGGACAGTAAAGTGAGTTCAAAGCCAGCCTGGGCACCTTAGCCCTTACCTAAAAAAAGAACAAGAAGTGGGGCAGAACGATAGCTCAGTCACTATAGTGCTTGTGTTGCAAACACTGGGACCTGACCACACCCCCAGCCCATGGGGCTAAAAAATGAATATGGCGCCAGCAGGACGGCTAAGTGAGGAGGACACCTGCTGGGTAAGCCCCAGCAGTTCCGTCCCTAGAACTCACAGTGGAGGGAGAGAAACTGACCCCCACATTCATTCCTGCAGGCTCTCACACAAAACCAAGCTGGAGGCTCTGGGGAGACAGGATGGCTCCTGGGACTCTCTAGCCAGCCAGCCCAGCCTGCATAGCAAATTCCGATCAATTCAAGAAACTGCCTCAAAAATAAGAGAGATATATAGCTATAGAGATTGCTCAGTGGTTAAAGCACTGGCTGCTCTGGCTAAAGATCTAGATCTGGTCTCCAACAGCATGGTAGCTCACAACTATCCATACCTCCAGTTCTGGGGGTCTGATGCCCTCTTTTGACCTCCGCAAGCACCAGGCATGCACACGGTACACACCCACATGAGCAGACAAAAACGTCGTGTAAGTAAAATAAATATCTAAAGTATAATTTTTCAAAGGAGGGTGTAAGAACACTCAAGGCTAGCCGGGCAGTAGTGGCGCACGCCTTTAATCCCAGCACTTGGGAGGCAGAGGCAGGCGGATCTCTGTGAGTTCGAGACCAGCCTGGTCTACAAAAGCTAGTTCCAGGACAGGCTCCAAAGCTGCAGAGAAACCCTGTCTCGAAAAAAAAAAAAAAAAAAAAAGAACACTCAAGGCTGACCTCTGACCTGCACATGTGCATGTGTGCATTTCCTAGTTAAAGGGACTAGAATGCAGCTCCCTGCTAGAATGTTTTCTTGGCACATACAAGGTCCTAGGTTTAGTCTCCATTACCAAAAGGGGCGGGAGACATGAAAGAAATAAAGAACTACAGTAGAAGTTATAAAAGGAGAGACCTCAAGACTTGAAACAGTGATAGCAGTTGATCAAAGGGATGCTCGGGAGAGAGAATGCGAGCACCGGGTGAGGTGGCTTCGAACTGAAAAGCTGTGGACAGCAGGAGAGACTTTCATGATGATGAATAGTTATGTGCCCGACAATGTAACTAAACGCATAAAGCAGTGATTAAATATAATATAGCTTGATCAAAGATAGGCCTAAATCGTACATACCAAGTAGAGAAAATAACACAGGAGGAAAATCCATCAACACAAAGAGCTGAATTTAATATATAGGGGATAGCTCATCTAGCAGAATTCTTGTACGTGCATATAGATGCAAAAGTATTTCATTAATCGAAGGTTTTGTAAAATTAGATATTGTGGGCTGTGCTATCTGATAACCAGAAAGCAGCCCGGGTGCTGGAGAGAGGGCTCAGCAGTTGGGTCCTTGCTACTGTTGCAGAGGGACCTGAGTTTGGTCAGGAGACCAACAGCCACCTACAACCTGAGCTCCAAGAGACCTGATGCCCTCTTCTGCCCTCTGCATGCATACACACACACACACACACACACATGCGTGCATGCACAAACACACACACACACAATTTTTTTAAAATAACTTAAAGAATGTACCTAAATACAGATGAGAAACTGTACATAGCCATGAACACCTATGGCACTGAAACTCTGGATGTTGAAACAGAGAGATCGGGAGTTCAAGGCCAGCCTGGGATAGATAGTGAGACCCCGTACCCCAAATCTAAAACACAAGCAATGAAAAAGGCTGCAGGTGTGGGCAAAGATCGTGTTGTTGATACTTGAAAAGCAGTAGAAGCATACTCTACCATTCCTTCTAAATAGACATTATTCAGATATTTGTTAAATTCTGCCCTGGCTGTGTGGAGGTGAGTCCATGCATGAAGCCCATCCCCACGCTCACCTCCTAAGGCATCATCACCGATTCTACCCAGTTGTTCTTACTCCAGGCCCAGCTTTCAGTGCCTCTAGCTTGTCCCCCTAGATGTTACTTCTCAGCAGGCATTGTTCACCCGCCTAAGAGATGCTCAGCATTTTGTCATCTCCCTTTTATCCAGATAGCCCCTCGTGTTACTAGGCCATCTGTGGCTCTCTCCTGAGCTGAGCCCACAGAACTAGGAGATCTTCAGAATTATCTTTGTGGCATCTGGGGGCTCAGCTATGTGCCAGGACCCAAGGCCAGGGCAAGAGAACCTCAGGGCTCGGAGAAATAAGGTTGACACACTGTGTCAGCTCAATGGTCCGTGGGGCTGTGTTTGATGAAGCCACCTCTGAATATAGGGTGTCAGGGTGGTGAGGCATGAATGACACTGACCGATGACAGCCTGTAATTTTCCATCTCTATTATAAGCTGAAATGACAGGCCTGGTATCGAGCAGCGATTGCACGCTGCCTTGGAACGCTCAGCCACATTTCCCAGAGACGCTCGTAGACCCAGTGTCCAATCCTTGTATTTTCTTAATGCCCAGCTCTATGAGTTTTTCTCCCGTGAACTTGTCAAGAAAGCATCATGCTGCCATTTGTTAAATAGAAAAATCACAGGAAAGCCTGCTCCTCGCAACTTCCAAACCCCTTGGAGACCAGAAATCACAGCGTGCACCCCTCTGGCTCCAGCGCCGTGCCTGCTGACATCCCTCACCCCCAAGGCTAGCATGGAGGTACACAAAGATCCCAGCCTCAAACCTGCCTGAACAGGTCAGCCAGCTGCTGTTTGCTCTGTCATGAAAGTGACAGCCAGAAGGCAGACCCCTTCCTCCAAGGCAGAAGTGCTCAGTGCTGCAAGCTGTGTGCTCAGCAGGCTCCTCCTGCAGCTTGTCCTGTAGGCTGGCATTGGGCAAAAACAAAAAAACCTGGATCCTTTCTGTTACTGCCATGGCCACAATATGATGAAGAAAAAAAAAAAAAAAAAAAAAAAAAAGAACACGTCCTTTGTTGGGTAAGAGTTGAAGGTCAGCTTCCTGTCCCTAGTGCCCTTGAGCTAAAATTGCCTGTGAGCTGGCCAAGCCCGTGCAGTGGTGTAGATCTGTCTACAGTGGCCTAAAACCTACAGATCAATGACCCTGTACAGAAGGCGGGAGATCATGGGCTGCCTTGGATAGCCCTTAACCAAGTGACTTCCCACAGGGCACCCACAGGACTCACTCTTGGTCTAACCTCTTAGATTAACCTCTCCCACCACCAAACTATCCTTGCCCTGACTCAGCATATCAGGGACACACACCAGGGGTTAGACCTGCTTGCTTTCTGCCAAGTCTACAGGGCAAAAGCATTGCCTGTGGGAAAACAGAGGCAACCATGATCCAGTTTGTACAAAGCAGGAGGCTTGAGTTCCAATCTCCAGGGCACACATTAAAAATAAAACAAAAACAAAAAACAAGTCAGGCATGTGACACACTTGTAACCCAGTGCTGAGAAGGTAGGAACTTGCCCTGGCCAACTTAGCCTATGTGATGAGTTACAGGTCATTGGCTCAAACACACCAAGTAGACAGCACATGAGAAATGATACCCTATGTTGACCTCTGGCCTCTATTAGCATATGCACACCTGTGCACACACTCGTGCTTGCCCCATGCAAACACACAGAAACACTAAATGTGTTCAATAATTTCCTAGTACATCGGTCCATTGTTCATTCTCTCCCCCTTTCCCTGGGGTTGAGCAGAGATGCAAACGCTAGGCTCTTCCTTGGAAACCCCAGCACTATTCCCTAGGTCCTCACCCCACCCTCCTGCAGGAAGACAAGAAGCAGATGGCCAGGTTGGACTGAGGAGGGGTGGCCAGTCTGGGCCTTTACTTCCTCCCCCAGGAAGGACAGGTGCCTGATCTCCACGTTCCCAAACAGCTCCCACTTGGCTCCTGTCCCTTTCCTGAGACTAGGGTTTGTCCACCATATATGTCACCATCTGTGGGGTCTATAGTTGAACATGCACATGTCCAGCTCTCCAGCCTGCTCCTGAATGGGCCCCCACAATAACCCCTCTCTGTGTTACAGGTGATCACTGAAGCCAGCGCTGGCCAGGGCCAGCACCTCATCCGAACACCGTTTGCAGGAGTGGACGACTTCTTCATACCCCCAACCAATCTCATCATCAACCACGTCAGGTAGGACTGGTCTCCCCGCCCCTGCAGGCCATGCTCAGTCCCCATCTGCCTGGGCAGTCATGTGCCCCTCTCTCCCTCCCAATACTTCCTGATCTGCCTCCCTCTCTGGCACAGCAGACCCAGAGCCTGGTCGCCCTGCTAAGCATACCTTCTAATTAAAGAGAATTCACAGTCCCCAGAGTCTTTAGGGACTTGCCCCCTCTCCTTCCTTTCTCATTTCCTAGAGCTCCCACAAGCTCTGCAAATGCCCCCTGCTGTGTCATCAAGTCCCCAAAGACCTCACTTTGTATGCCTCTGTGAACTGACATCAGACTCAATCTTCAAGAAGAAATGACTCATTTTTGCACGCTGATGCTGGGCACCTTAAGAGGACAATAGCCTCCCTCAGAACCCAGTTCCTGCAGAGCCTCAGGGCTCAAATGCATACATGAGACCCCCACCAGGACTCCAGCCAGCAGCCGTGAGGTGCAGATGCTCCTGAGTGGCTCTTAAGTTCCTCTTAAGAGCATCGTCTTCTCCGTCCGCTTCTTTAAGGATGCTTTAAAGTTAATGTCTGGGACATTTTGTCCACTCTGGAGATGCCTTTTTTCCCCCAGGGAAAATTATAGAAACAGATTCTCCTATTCCTTTAGGTGCATTCAGCACCGAAGCCCTTTGTGAGCCAGACACTAGGTGCAGATCTCGGGGGATGTCCCTCCTGAAGTCAGACTTTCCTATACTGGCAGTCAGTCTCCAACAGACTTTCAGAAAGCCAGAGGAGCTCAAGTCCCATCTGCTTGAGCTCCCTCTTGGATCTGATCTTCCCAACTGCCCTGGGAAGAGACCGCACTCTTTATAGAGTCCCTGAGGCTCAGAGAGGCAAGGTCCTGGGCTCTGCAACCAAAGGGCATCCCAGCAGCACCAGGCCGAGTGACATCTGGGGAAAAAGTTGCCCTGAGGTTCTTCTTGCCCACATCATGGATGCCAGAGGGGAGACTACACTATGGATTCCTCCCCCAACATCAGAATAAATAGGAACTCTGTCCTTGTTTAGCTGTGTCTTCGAATTCTGACTTTCCAGACAGCTCAGGAGCAGGCGAATTGACAAGTGTCCTCGTGACAGTCAGGCAAGAGTCAGTCTTTTCCTGCAAACCCAGATCCCCATCCCAGCTAACCGAGCTAGGGAAGTGGACCAAAGTCACCTCCAGAGAGAAGCCACTGAGGGTCATTCTCCTGCCCTTCAAAAGCATTTTCCAAGGATGAGTGGGTTTTGCAAACATGCAGATCCACAAACATTATACTCAACTGTACATGACTGAAGAGTATAGATAGCTGGCTCGGAGGCATCCCCTGCAGAATGATAGATCTTATTAATAGACCATTAGATGACTGAAGGGTTAGGATGCTATCATTTAAAACAAATGACAGATCCCCTGCCCCCAACAGCGACCTCCTACTCTCTGACCTGTGGCTCTCTGACTTCCACTGCTCTCCTTCCAGGTTTGGCTTCATCTTCAACAAATCTGACCCTGCCGTCCACAAAGTTGACCTGGAGACTCTGATGCCCCTCAAGACCATCAGCCTGAAGCACCATAGCTGCATGCCTCAAGCCATGGCACACACCCACCTGGGCGGCTACTTCTTCGTGCAGTGCCGACAGGACACCCCTTCCTCCACCAGCCCACAGCTGCTCATTGACAGCGTCACAGACTCGGTGCTGGGCCCTAACACTGACATCACGGGCACCCCCCATGTGTCCCCTGATGGACGCTTCATCGTCAGTGTCTCCAACAAGGGCCCCTGGTTGCACGTGCAGGAAGTCACAGTGCGGGGGGAAATCCAGACCCTATATGACCTCAAAATAAGCCCGGGCATTTCAGACTTGGCGTTTCAGCATTCCTTCACAGAAGGCAATCAGTACAACGCCTACGCCACTCTCGACAAGGAGCCAGACCTGCTGTTCCTCGAGCTGTCCACTGGGAAGATGGGGAGGCTGAAGAACTTAAAGGAGCCACCCACCGGGCCAGCCCCACCCTGGGGTGGACCCCGCAGAATCCTGAGGGACAGCGGGCTCTTTGGGCAGTACCTCCTCACGCCCGCTCAAGAGTCGCTGTTCCTGATCAATGGGAGACGAAACGCCCTGAGATGCGAGGTGTCGGGCGCAAAGGGTGCAGCCGCAGTGGTGTGGGTCGGGGAGGTATGAAAGGGTCCAGGAAGGAACCGAGCTCGGGTCCAGGAGTACCACCTTAGTCCTGACACCACAGCCCCGACCAGGCGCACTGTACATTTTCACAGACAAAAAAGCCAAACCCTGTACTTCGCTTTGTGGTTCGACACTGATCTCCTTGCAAGTTCCCTAGCAGAAGGTACACACAGCAACCAAGATCCGGGGGTTTCCATTCAGAAGTATGATGTAACGCCTTGAGCCGTGGTGAGAACACATGCTGCTACTGTGTGCAAGGAAATCATCTCTGTTCCTGGCTGCACACCACGTCGCCTGGGGACATCACAGAAGCGAGGGATCCTGCTGCCCAGGCTGACACTTCTGTCCGTTGCCTTTACATAGTCATTATCCTAACCCGCCAGCCCCAGCCAGTGCCCTGCAGGAGTGGCCCCCGCAGCGGGGTTGAGCGGGGCTGTCCCTCTTAGCGGGCTAGCCTCCTACCCCTGCTGGGGACCTCACATGCTCCATCCTGGACGCTGCTTGCTTGCTTTTCCAGCTGAGTGCTATACCCCTGAGGGAGAGCCTCTGAAACTTACTACACCTTGGGGGATGGGAAATCACTTGCTTTATTTTGGAATTTTTTGATTAAAACTAATTTTTTTATAATCTCAGATGTGAGGACGCAGAGAGATGCTCTCCAAGGTCCAGCTATATTCTTCCCTGCCTTAGGATAAGTCTCCGAGGGGAGAGGGTCCCAACGGTACATGCCATGTGCAGAAAAAATAGACACCCGAGAAATAGCAGTTCTCTGCAGCATTGTGTTGGCCCAAGTGCAGTCCATAACCACCATGTTAAAATCGACGCTGGGACCCCAAGAGACCAAGCTGAGCCCCATGTGCCTGCTCTTCACCACAGAAAGGCAACACGTTACTAAGGATGCCTAACGCACCAGCAGAAGTCCAGACCCAGGGCAGGCCAGGCTTTCCTGGTAAGGTGTAGGCAGCCTCTGGGTTCCATCCAGAAGCCATGAGTGCCATCCATCCAGAGCTCTAAGGCTGTGTTTCTGCAGGAGCAGTCAGCACTGATGCCTCAGCCCCTGTCACCACACTGCAAGAGAGCCCTTTTCCCTAGTGTTTTCATTCCCATCCCCTCAACTACACACTCTCCACAATGCAGACTCACAGAGGGCTCTGCCTGCAATAGGAAGAAGCCCAACCCAGCCAGCCCTAGGTCAGACTCAACAGCCCTGTGTCAGACTCAACAAGAACGAGACCCCCACCCAGGTTTCTCAGAACATTCCGCCCTCTCTCACATCCATTGCCAAAACATGCTGACTTTCTAGTTCGAATCCTGCAAGCCCCACAGTGTTGAGACAGTGGGTCTACCCCAGACCAGCTAACTTAGCCACTTTCACCGATCAGCAATGGCCATGACTTTGAAGACACAGAATGCACCTTTCTCCCACTTCCTGCATGAGTGCTTGACCCCCACTGTTCATGCCAGCTTCCTGCTGCTAGTCTGGCCTCCCCTGTGTTTCCTCTCCTGGTGCACTAAACCACTGTCCCTGACAGTCCAAGGCAGTTCCCCATACATGTGCTATCATGTTTCAGATGTGGGTAAGAGGCTGAAGATGCTGCCCTCAGAGGCAAGCTTCACAAGCAGGATAAGTGGCGATGATACAGCTTACCCTTTCTTATCTGATATGATTCTGGGGTCCCATGCTTTCACTGAAATCTTCCAATAGTCATATATTTCTCCTTTTGGAACAATAGTGTCTGCCTCAAGAAGAAGATTCCCTCAGCCTCTCCCCCAAGCCCACCAAGGCCAGCTTTACATACCCTCTTTGGATGCAAAAGTCAAAGACCAATACAATCCAGCAAACCAAAAGAAAGCAGGATTGCTTGGCCACTGTCCTGCTTCTCTGCATATTCCTAGAAGGCACCCCAAAGTTCTCTTCTCTTCTGCTCAACTTCTAGAGATAGCCAGCCTATGTCCAGTGGCCTGGGTGCAAGACATGTTAAAGAAAAAACCTCGGAACCCTGAAGCCTAGGCCAGATGTCAGTCCAGGCTGCAGTCACAAAAGCAGAATGGCTTCCTGGCAATGAGATCAGTAGAGGAAGGCAGAGGACTGTGGGGAAATCTTGCCTGCCTTCCCCCTCTTCAGTCTGGGGCCAGAAGAGACCCATGAGACGAGTTTAAAACCCACTGGCAACACACAGTGAGTGAGTGGATCTCCTGCAACAACCCCAGCCCGTGGGGGTTCTGAAGAACACAAGAAATTGACAGCTAACAGTTTACCCAGAAAGGACTGGTTTAACTAAGAAAACCACCAGGAAAGTGATTTACATAAACCCCATTCATAATTCTTAACATTCAAGTGATGACACAAACATTTGACTGTTCTTTTTTATTTTCCCCTGAAAACCACCACAAAATTCTGTGCATATGTAGCTACTGGTTCTCCTTCTGCCCCAAAGTCCTTGCTCTCAACATCTTACCCAGCAACCCCAGACTGCATGGAAGAGAGCCTTCCTGCTTCTGACTGAGTATATAACCCTCTTGTCCAAACAAGCCTGAAACTGGGCCACCCTCCAATGTGGTACATGGATTTCTTTGGTCCCCCAAGCCACACAAACATCCTGCTGCCTTCCTGAATCATGGGAAGAGGCTGGAAAAGACCTGAAGTCATGGCTAGGATCAGAATCTAAGGCCAAACTGCAGGTTCTCTGATGAAGAGAGTGGGCGTCACCAAGGAAGGGGGTTCAGTTCCTCCCCCTCACCTACTCTCTGTTCAGGAAAGGGCTCCCAACTGAAGGGAAGCACCCCAGGAAGGCTGCTTGCTACCCCAGACAGAGCCAAGGGCAGCAGCTTGCTACACAGAGCCTGGGAACTTCCGAGTCTTCACCCAGCGAAGCGCGAGTTGGCTTTGTCCAGTAGCATCTTCTCGTTCGTCTGATGACCGATAACCTGTGAACTAAGGGGGCTCTCAGAATGGAGATGTGAGATACACTCGCTCTGGATATATTTTTGTACCTTGGGCTAAAGTGTAGTTGCTTCATTTTCTCGTGTGTTTCAAAAAACCACTGATGCAGAACCATCTTCACTAACAAACCCCACAGCCCTCTCTCCAACCCTCCCCTCCAGAAGCAAGTCTCCGGGGATCTGTCGCCATTCCCCTCCCTCCTACACACCCACCAATCTACCTCACATCTTCCTTCCGTATACCCAGCATCCCCAGAATGCCCCCCCAGAAGGCCAGAGATGAGGGGAGACTCCTAGAGACTGATTCAGCAGTCCTCCATCAGCCCAGCCCCAGCCTCACTCTGTCAGAACCACAGACAACACCTTGCTGTCCAGGATCACAGCCCAAACCCTAGCTCTCGGACCAGGGAGTTAGAAGCCAAGGACTAGAAAAAGCACCATCAGAGTGGTAGGAAAGAGGGAGAGAGCTGGTGAGATTTCATTTCGGCCCAGTCTCACACGAGGCAGTCCACCCTCTCCATCTTCTCCCACTTCATTCCCTTTCTTCCTGGCTCTCTTCCTGTATCCCACGCCCCCTGCTTCTGAGTTCCCCCGTGACGGCACTCATCCATCCTTCAAGGAGCAACAGCTCTTCCTCACACCAGCTTCATGTGCCCTTTTCCCACACGCCCCTTGCTCTGAGGGTTCAAATGCGAAGTCCCTCACAGACCAGATGCTGCCTTTTGCTCCCAAGCCACCACAGAGGCAACCCGTGGTCTTGTTCAAAAGCATCGCTAACTGCCTAGGTTTGGTTTCTCTCCATAACCACAAGGATGCTAAGTGGGGTATTTAAAAGATCCAATGGGGGCAGGGCACTCAGGATGTGATCACAAGATGCCAAATGGGTGGTGGAAGGCAAGCCACGTCCTGCTCGTGGCACTGGCTTGAGGATTTGGGCGTCGTGGCTGGGTCTCCCCAGCAGATACCTAGAGGTAATGATCAAGCACCTCTTAGGCCTCCACAGTCTCCTCTGACTCTCTGGGCGACTATCTGGAAAGTGTAATCTAACCAAACACAACGGATGAAATGAGATATGAAAGGAGAGAAGAAACGGACTTCCAGAATTCACAGGGAGGCTTCTTCAGCTGGCACCGGCGCATTTAGGACGTTTTTTGGCTTTTGACACAAAGTCACAGCTTGTGCGCCTTTCTTTCCGAACTCAACTTAATGACCCATGTTACAGTTCCTTTCCCGCGGCTCGCTCCCACTACGGTTCCTACCATTCACGGAGCATCCGTTTCCCACCATACAGGCATCATGTGACCCCTCGCCATGACGCCTTACTGCTTTAACGCTCCAATGAAAACTCGCCTGTGGCCTAGAAAACATGGCCCTACCCTACCCTAGACAACACTAGCGAACCCTGCCTACATCCCACAAAGCCTTGCGTAGGGACTGGCCCCCTACACCACGCCTTGGTGACATGTTGCTCTCCACAGTTCACCTTCTGGATAAAGGGAGACCAGCATCGGCTGGTTGTGCGATCCAGGGGCTGTCTAAACTCCAAATCCTCGTCCACTGTCTAGCATGCCATCTCCAGAGATGGGAGAGAAACAAGCCTGCAGGCCACCAGACCCAGACCCACTGTGCCCCCTGGTGGTAGCACCCACATTCACACCCTCTCTGCCTGCCTCCAGGGCTCCCCACACCCCCCAGTGCTGCTGCCCTGCTTCCTGAAGGCTGTATAAAATGACCCAAAGTGAAACTGGGCATGAAGTTTTGCTCGAGTGGTCGCACACCATTTCGCGCTACCGCGTCGCCGAATGACCTTCACGTTGTGGAACCCCACACACGCCATCCCGAGAGTCATCCTTTCCCCACCTCAGAAAAACCCTTGGATCGCTTACATCGAGGCAGGCTACGTTCTTTTGAGCAGTTGTGTAGACTCCAAAATATATTTTCTGTAATCAGTATCTCTCAAAAGGCCGCCTGTAATTATTATACACATGTGAATTTTTTTCCTTATTTATAAGATATATATAAATTATTTTTAATACATCAACTTTAGTAGAAATTTGTACCAACACAGTAACAGTATGTGGCATTTGAAATAAGTTTGTGTTTATTTTGATGTATGACACAGTATTGAACACATGATGTATTTACTGTACCACTTGACAAAAAAGAAAAAAAAAGACTCACAGATTACCATAAAGTATGGTCATTGTCAATGCTCTTTTTCTGAGGATTTTACAATAAAACTTGAGAAAGAATTCCCTTTCTGGATCGAGTATGTCAGCAGCTGTGAAAGTGAGAACGGACAGGTGCAAGACCCAAGGTTTTGTCCAGTGTGTTTTTTTCTGTGTAGCCCTGGCTGTCCTGGAACTCACTCTGTAGACCAGGCTGGCCTTGAACTCATAGATCCACCTTCCTCTGCCTCCCCAAGTGTTGGGATTAAAGGTGTGCAGCACCACCCCATTTCAATGGAAGCAGGGGCTCAGATCTGACTCCAATTCAAGTCTATAGCCAACGGATGCTGGTCCCTGGCTCTGTCCACATACAAAGCTTGAGCCTCAGCTCCCCTGGGCTCTGCTTTCCAGATCTGCCTCATTAACATTTGCAGGAGGATGGGGGTCCAGCAATTTCCTGTGTGGTGAGCACTGAGCCAAATGCAATCACGCAGTAAGAAGCAGAGCACAGTGACCAACTGCCACTGCTTCCTGCCCTCAGCCCCACCCAAGCTTGTGCTCATCACCACATGGGACAGTTCATTCCAAGACCTGTCTGTAATGGGGCAGGAGCTTGTGTCTCACCTGACATCCCAAATGTAATCCTGCCCCAGCCAAGGAGGACACTCAGAAAAAGTGAGCCCCATGTACCCAGATTATCTGTTCAAGAGGAGAGTTGACCTCCTGGTTCCTCCTATTGCCAGGATACTTTTGTAATCCCATCTATTCTCTCTCTTCAGCCACTGTTTTCCAAAACACATCCCTGTATCCAGGCTTAGTCTGCATGGAGCTCAGAGTCTAAAGGTATGAAACCTAAGAAGAACTATGAGAGCCCAGGCTCAACAGTGCACACAGGGATGCTCACTCAGGAATAACTCTTGGATGAGATAGTCTGAAGTTAAATGAAAATGCCTGATTGAAAAACAGCATGGGTCACAACCTGCCTATCAATAAAAGAGGCAAAGCAATGGGTTTATGTGAGAACATCCCAAATGCTGGCCCCATAGACATGATGGCTGTATGAGATCTCTGCACACGAAGACTGAGGCTAGATGAGCTGCAGGGTAGAGTGCCATACTGTTATAAAAACTGGTGGCCAGCCTCTGACTCTGCAGGTGAAGCATCTTCCCTGCCAGGTGGCACAGGTGTCTGGACTGAAAGGAAGGAAAGATACACACTTTCCAAGACCATGCCTATGTCTCCTGACCGTATCCATGCCCCAGGTTACACAGAGGTTGGTCAACTACCTATGCACAGCCTGAAGTCATTCTGTTCAGGGGAAATGCTCCTGGGGAGCCACAAGGGTTCTCTGGGGAAAGAACCAAGAGAGGGAGCATTCCCAGAACCCGTAGGCGTAGGCTGCAAGGGGGTCATGACAGGGAGTCTGTCCTAGAAGCACAGAGGACCTGGAGCACCACTGAAATGCTTCTATAGGGAGTCAGGAGGCAGGTAAGAAAGGATTGTGATAAGTGACCTGAGGAGAGGGAAGAGGTCGTGGAGATACCCAGGCAAGGACAGACAAGAGGATGTCTCTATTGAGGGAGCGCATAGGCTCCAGGAAAGCTGAAGTGTGGTGAGCCCACAAGTATAACACAGCAATGTGCAGCTGGGAGGTCTACTGGACTATCCACAGGAAGTGTATACGTACTCTCCGCCTGGAGAACCCATCTTTGTAGAGCTGCGGGCACACCTGTCCTTTGGGTCAGTCACTGTCAGTCCTGGTGAAATCCTGTGAAATCATGGCATTTCTCCTCCCATAGTATCCCAGCAGTGTATAAGCCTGACTTTTCCTGCAGGGCCACTGGATGCCTCCCCCCACACCATGAAGCCATGGTGTGAAAAGGATTCCATCAAGTCCTTGCTCTCATGGTTCCACAGTTCCCCACAAACTTTCTTTATTGACAATAATGGTCACTGGCAAAAAAGGAGCCTCATTCAGGAGGCAATATGTCTGCTCTAACGGCAGACTCAGGATGGTGCAACCTACTGGTCTTGTACTTTGACCTAACAGGCTACTAATGTTCTGTATTTACCCTTTACCTCGGTTTTAACTAACATAGGATCATAACCCAAGAAATTAGCTGTTTATACAGGGAAAAGGCCTGAGTCACTAAAACTAGCTTCAGAGAGAACACTTCTCACCTGGGCACCCTGCTAGAGTCAGAAGCAGGGTCCCTGAAAGAGATTCCTTTTAACTCAACCAGCAAGAGGCTAATACAAATCAAGCCCACAGGTTAGCATAACTACCAAGGCTGTGTTCCCAGCACAGCCGCAGGGGAACGTCACAGCTACACCCCCGCTGAGATATAAAGCCAGATCCACTGGTTCTTGTGACTCTGAAAATGCATGCTTGGTGCTATTGTTACCACCTATGGGATTGCTAACTTGTCTGTATGCCTGTATAAACTGAAGGCTTTGTGACAATCACCCCCTTTTCTTAGCCTTATGCCTTACTCCTTACCCTTATACATTGCCTTATCCCTTGTGCCTTAGGCTCCTCCTTCTTCTCCCTTCTCTCATCTTCCTCCAAGGAATAAAGAAACATACAGGTAACATGTGCCTAAGTCAGTTTGCTCTGTCCCTCAGATCTGCTTCCAAAGTTTCCAAGCCAGTTTTCGCTTGTCCTAGAAGCTCTTTTCTGAGCCCTGACAGAGCGTTGAGGCTGGCACTCGGTAGCTCCTGATAGTGAGAGGACTTACAGAAGAGGGCTGTGTCTCAAGGTTTCCAAACTGCAGAAGGCTAGGAAGCCATTTTTTTTTGTTTTTGTTCACTTATTTGTTTTGAGACAGAGTCTCACCATGTAGCCCTAGCTAACCTGGGATTCACAATTAATCCCAGTACTCAAGGGATAGAGGCAGAACCTGGTGGATCTCTGTGAGCCAGCCTTGTCTATCTACATAGTAAATTCCAGACCAGCCAGGCAAGAGACTGTCTAAAACCTAAGACAAACTAAAGCTTTTTGATGCAGTAGTGGCCCTTCATGCCAGATGGGCATCGTCTCGATATGTAAATGTCTGTGCAAAGAACCCTAGTGGTTACTTACCTGCCACTCCCCCAAAGCCACTAGTCATCCTCATCGTGTTCAGAATTCATCCTTTCCAGGCAAGGTTTCCCACAAAAAATAAAATCCAGTTACCAGTGTTGGTCACTGGTGACCAATGAGACCAGGCAGTCCTGAGGGGTTCAAACGATGGGGTACAAAGCTGATCAGCCATTGACCCTGCACTGTGTGCAACCGGTAGAATGTTCCCCAACAGAACACAGGAACACTCTAGGCATCTCTTGGGCACAAATTAAAAAAATACAACGTACAGAGACCCTGATTAGCTGGAAAGAGAGCCTTAGTCCTGGGTGTGCTCTGATCAGGCATCCGGGAAAGTCCAGCTCCCATCAGTGCTCAGTAGTGTTCCACTTGGCAACCACACTCACACACTTGTGTCAGCGTGTAAGAAATATATGCTGGGGCTGGTGAGATGGCTCAGAGGTTAAGAGCATTGCCTGCTCTTCCAAAGGTCCTGAGTTCAATTCCCAGCAACCACATGGTGGCTCACAACCATCTGTAATGAGGTCTAGTGCCCTCTTCCGACCTGCGGGCATACACACAGACAGAATATTGTATACATAATAAATAAATAAAAAAGAAATATATGCTGTATGTTCCATTCTCATTTTGTAAAAGCATAAGCCGCTATAGAAAGCACTGAGTTGTAGAATTATTGCATGGGTACACAGGATCTCACTGTGTTAAGTATAAAGCTACAAGTGAATCTATAGTTAAAAAAAATTTAAAAACACAGGGGGAAGCCCTAAGGCCCAGACAGTGTCACCAGTTACCCCTTAAACATCAATGGAAGCTACAAAACCAAATTTAACAGACCCTTTCAACATATACAAAAGGGAGAGAAAATCCCAACCGACTTTGTGATGCCGTAGTATTCCTTTATCCTAAAAGCCACTAAAATCCAACAAAAACATCCCAGGAAAGGGACAATCACAAGTCTATTTTATACTCCTAACATACATGACAAAATTCTTTTTTGAGAGGTGGGGGCTTTTCAAGACAGGGTTTCTCTATGTTACAGTCCTAGCCGCCCTGGAACCAGCTTTTGTAGACCAGGTTGGCTTGAACTAACAGAGATCTACCTGTTTCTGCCTCCTGAATGTTGGGTTTAAAGGCCTGTGCCACCACTGCCCAGCCCCTTTACAAAATTCTAATGAAAATACCAACAAATTGAATCCAGCAATTTAGAGAAAAGGACAGTACATCATGACTAAGTCAGATTAATCTAAGAATTGTAAAATATTTAATGAAGGAATTACTTATATTGTTCTATTATTAAATAAAATTCCAGAGTTCAATACTGAGGTAAAAACCTGATTGATCAGAGAAGCAGCAGAGAAGGGACCGGGGGCCTGCTTCTCTCTCTTCTTCCTCCATCCAAATGGGCCTGTGAATCTTTCTAACCCCTCCCTACTACTTCCTGTGTCTCTTTATATCCTGGGTCCTCCAAAACCTCTATGGCTAATTCCAGTCAACTAATAGCTAGTTCTACCCCCTGACTCAAGGTAAACTTTGTCAGTCTCAGGGGTGTCAGAGTACAATCAAAACACCCTGCAACGATTTAATGTTGGGGGAAAATGATGTAACTTGCCAAATTATTAGATAAAAGGAGGGAAAGCATATGAGCATCTCAAGAGAGTCAGAAAAACTGTTGAAAAAATCCTAAAGTCATTCTCACATGACCTAGACCAGCAAGTTGTTCTTCAGTGGCAGAATCTTGAGGGGGAAACCCAGAAGATGAGAAGACAGACGAAGATAGGAAATCTGAGATCAGGAGATCAAGAGGTCTCGCATGAGCTAAATCTT